CCTCGTATCTCTTTTATGGGCAAGAGCTCCAGCTTCTCTCTTGCTTTGGCTGCTGCTGTCTGGGGTCTTCCGATCAGGCAGCCATAATCCTAATGCTCACAGGCACAGGTGTGGTTCTGAGGCCCATTTTTCATCTAAGGAAAATAATCCTAATGAGATAGAACAACTTGAGCCCTGGTGGTCTCCCAGCAGGGCCCGCGTGCGTACCCACGGAAGGGCGAGTGCCCCCCAGCAGAAGGCTAAATGCTTGGTGTGCTGGGTCAGGGCTCGCTGCGGAGTGGCTGGGCTCAGCTACACAGGCACCGGGAGCCTGAGTGTTTTGGCAGTGGCCTGGCCTGAGGGCTGGGGGAGGTGCTCTGTGTTCTCACCACATTCGAGGCTGGCCCAGGGCCCTCCAGCATTCTGGCAGGGAATCCGGACCGCGGTTATTAAATTCCTGATATTCTGATCTGCCCTCAAGGAACCAGTAGACCAAGCAGAGGCAATTGCTGCAGGCTTTTGCAAGAGGGAAGTCATTCTGGCCCCATGTGAGACAGGATGGGGTGGCTAGGATCTGAGAGCAGCAAAGATGGTCTTGGTTAGCTTCTGCTGAAGTGGGCCCCAAAGAGATTCCCCAGAACCCCACTTTCAGTTGTTAGGTGTCCCGTGTGGAAGCATCAGTGATCCCAGAAGCTGGAGAAATTGGGCTCCTACAGGCCTTCTCAGGGCTTTTAGTGTGCACTGGAACATGGTGGGCGGGAATGAGACACACAACATTCTGTTACTGTCCAAGCACTTTTTCTGGAGAAACATCTTAAAGGAGGTTTTTTTCCCTTTAAAAAATTCTATCACTAGGGGATGCCTGGGTGGCTCAGGCATTAGGCGATTAGCCTTCGGCTCAGGTCCTGATCCCAGGATCCTGGGATAGAGTCTCACATCGGGCTCTTTGCTTAGCGGGAGCCTGCTTCTCCCTCTGCCTTCTGTTCCCCTGCTTGTGCTCTCTCTCTCTCTGACAAATAAATAAATAAATAATAAAATCCTGAAAAAAAAATACTATCACTAACTACCATTTATGGACAATTAACTTCACATCAGACGCCGTGCTATGATTGGTACATGCATCATCTCATGAATTTTCAGAAAAATCTATGAAGTGGGCACCAGTATTGTCAGAAGACAGGCCTGGAGGCTACCATGCCAAAGTATGTGGTAAAGCAGTCATCCAAACCCTCCTGCCCCATTCCAGAATCCACGATACCGGGAATCCCAGAGAGGAGAGATTTTGCCACACCCCGCATAGCTGGCAGGAGGCCGTGCTGGATCTGGACCTAGGTTTCTTCACTCTTGTTCCAATCAGATTTTTATAGGTTCACGAACATATGTCAGATGGGGAGTGATCTCCATCTCCCTACCCTGCCCTTCCCTCCCACACACCTAGAGCTGTGGCCAAGAGACCAGATGGAGATGAAGTAGAGATTCTGGACCAGCTTCTTGCCCCATCACCCATGTTGTCTCTGTGGATCTGACCCACGACACAGGGACACGTCCCTGAACCAGACTAATCAGGTATGGCCCATGCTGTCCACCACAGGCTCCACTCACAGATGCTGCCCTCCACCCACCATGGGCTCCCGAGCAAGTTCCTTTCACTGGGGCTGTGTTCCTACTGATGTCACCTGCTCTCATCCATCTACTTACTAAACATGTCTTGAATGTCTACTTTGGGCCATGTCAGGCACTGTTTAAGGATAGGAGAGGTTCTTTACATATATACACACGTGTGTATATGCATTGTACATACATATGTGTGTTACACAGAAAACTTCCTGCTGGTGATTGTGCTAAAGAGGAAAATAAAGCATGTTGCAGAGATAGCGATGGTGCTGAGGTTTAAGGGGAGATCTCTCAGATGTGTGAGCGGAGACCTAGATGAAGCAAGTAGTCATGCACTTGGGGCAGACAGAACAGCAAGAGCAAAGTCCCCGAGATGGGAATGTCCCGTCTGTGCTTCAGGGACAGCAATAGGCGTGCCTGGGGGGCTTAGTTGGAAGCGTCTGACTCTGGATTTTGGCTCAGGTCATGCATGATCTTGGGGTCGTGGGATCGAGCTGTGTTGGGCTCCCGCCCGTGGGGAGTCTCCTTGAGATTCTCTCCCTCACCCTCTGCCCCTCCCTTCCTCCCTCTCTCAAAAAAACAAACGAATGAATGAATGAATGAATGAATGAATAAAGGACCACAATAAGGCCCAGTGCACCAGTGGGTAGAACTGGGGGCGCTGGCAAGCAACTGGGTCTGGGGAGTAAGTCCCTGGAGAGGGGTAAGGTAGAGAAGCACTTTCTACAGGCCAAGGGGAGGGTCTGGGAAATGGTCTACGTGCAATGGAGATCTCCAGAGGGTCTCGCACCTTGGCCTGCTCTGCGGTGAGACTGGATTGAGGGCTAGGTCGCAAATGCCATCCACTCTCCTTCGGCTCCAGGGTGGGACATGGTGAGGCAAACACTTCCCAGAAACCAGGGAGGCGCTGCGACGCTCTGAGTGGAGGCCAGTGAAGACGACGGGGTGCTGTGTCTGCTGCGGGATGTTTGTCCAGGCGTCGCAGGCTCAGGGGCCCCAGCAGGGCGGGAGAGGGCCCAGGGCCCAGGTCAGGCAGACCGGATGGACGAGCATGGCCTCAGGTCTCTGGTCTCCCCCTCAGGTCTCCACCTCCTCACTCCGTGACCCCTGGAGCTTCCCTCCTGCACCGCCCAGCCCGCCACTCTGCCCTACCTGTCCTCTTCATAGTCCTCCATCCCCTAAAACTGGAGTTCCTCGCCGGCAGAGCCAGGGGTCCTGTGGGAGCTGGTCAGAAGGGGAAGGTCAGCAAGGGCCCAGATGTCTACCTTAGTGGGCGCTGGCCAGCTCCGGACGCCTAGATCCCTCCCTCCCAGGGCCAGGGTGACACACTTCTCTGCTCAGCGTGGTGTGGCCCTCGGTAGACCCCACGTTGCAGTGACCTGTTCCTCATCACCCACATTGAACCCAACACACTGGGAGCTCCCAGAGCCTCATTTCTGAGCCACGCCCTAGTTAGCCCGGGTGCCTAGGACACAGGGACAAGTAAATGCCCTGAGGAGTGCCCACCATGTCGTCTGCACGACATACCTTCGGTCGGGCCAACCACCCTATGAAGTGGGCATTTCCTATTTTACAGATGAGGAGATGAAGTCAGAGAGGTGATCTGCCTCAAGGTCAAGGGAACGAGTAGGTAGCAGAGTCAGTCTGCATTCTTAGGACTCTGCGAGGTACGGGCTCCTGGCTGGGCCCGTGACTGCGTCTGGGTCTCAAGTACCTATTTGCTATTCTCCCCTCATCGGCCATTAGTAAGTAGTGCAATGGTGTCCACATCTATAAGACCCCCAACCCCCACCCCCGGATGACGATAAAAAAAGACAGTATCAAGTGTCCTCAAGGATCTTGCAGAGGAAGGAGAACCCTCGCCGCTCTTGGGTGGGAAAGTAAAATGGTGCAGCATCTTTGGAAAACAATCTGGGGGTTCCTCAACTATGCACAGTTACCGCAGGACCCCACAATTCTGCGAGATCTGTGCCCAGGGGGTCAGAAACCGAGGTCTGTGCATAAACCACAGCCGTGTTCCTTCTAAGGGCCCCACACAGAAACCATGTCCACGGACCGTGAATGGATACAGGGAACGCGGTGTTTCCACACAATGGATTACGATTCAACAACCTGCAGGGACAGAGAGCGGACACATGCGAGGACATGGATGGGGCCTGAAAACACCGTGCTGACAGGAGCCGGACACCAAAGGGCACAGAGTGATTCCATTCGCATGGAATGTCCAGAATAGGCAGATCCATCGACAAAAGGTAGATTAGCCACGACCTTGGGCTGCGAGTGCGCGCGTTGGGGAGGGGATAAGTGATTGCTAACGGGTGTGATTTCTTTTCAGAGGTGGTAAGAATGTTCTGGAACTGGATGGTGCAGCGGCTGCACAGCTCTGAACGTATGAAAAACCACTGACTTGCACACTCCAAAAGGGTCAATGATCTCTGCCAAGTTATTAAAGTGAACTTGTGGGTCGTCCTTCCCCAAGCCCCAGGCTAAGCACATCAGGATCCTTTTCTGCAAGGAGCTTCGACCCCAGACACCAAAACCCGGGACTGGAATGCAGCGTGCTGTCAGATCAGGCCGGAAGGCGGACTTATCTGTTCCTCCGGCACACATTCCAGAGGCCTGACTCGGCCTCCAGCAGCTTTAGGATTCCTGGGTCTGCAAGGTCTGATTCCCAAGGAGCCTGAGTGGTGGGTCCCGGTAAAATGCTGCCCTACCAGAGCAAGCAGCTTTCCTGAGGCTGCACAGGGCCGGGAGTCCGTGCCAGCAGACTCCGGGAACATCCCAAACCTGGCCCTCCGGGGAAATGGAACTATAGGAGCACTTGTTGAAAGCCTACTAAGTGCTGGGCTCAACACAAGCTTCCTATTTAGCCTCAACTGCTCTGGAGTGAGCTACTGCCGCTACCATTTTGCTGGAGGAAAGTGACACGCCATGAGACAAAGTCCCCGGTCCCCGGTGGTAAGTGGCAGAAGTTCCCGTTCTTCCTGGTGCTCTCTGGACAGGGTTGTTACCCCTTCAGCTCACAGAGCCGTTCTGTCCTGCTCCTCTCAGAGCTCCCCCCACCCCCACCCGCCCCGACCTTTGCAAAAGGTCCCTGTCCCCTTCCCTTGCCAGTGTGGTTCAGAGACCCCTCTTATCTGTTAGAACTTCTCAGGGCAGAACTTGCAGAAACAAAGCAGTGCTGGGCCTGGAAGGGCCTCTGAGTGGCCTCCTGCAGTCCTGTAACCCGTGATGGGCCACCCAGGCTCAGTGTGGACTCCCGTGCTCCATGGGCAGGTTTCTCCAGAGGGCCTACTCCCGGGGTGGGGCGGGAAGGTCCTTCTTTCCAGGCCGCTCACCCACCAGGCCCTGGGAGCCGCGGCCTCACCCTGCCCCAAATAGGGGGCAACAAAACCACGAAGCACTCGTTTTCAAATCACGTATGGCTTCTCTGACCCCATCAAATAACTTTATTCACACAAACGTCCCATAATTTACAAAGCCTCAGTCATTCATACACATTAGGGGATCCACAGTGTTCAAGGAACTTAAATATAATGTATCATACCAACCCAAGTAAACCAAGTACAAAAAATATTCATATAAAGTTGTTCACACGTAGGTCCTAGATTACCAGCTTCTGTGCAAAAAAAGAAAATAAAGAAAAATAGATTTATTAACTAGTATTTGAAGCTAACTTTGTGCCTGGGTTACCCTGTGCCTCCCTCAAACCCAAGTTGGCTCCCCATGCCTGTTCAGTTGGGGCCCCGTACTCCCCTGCTCTAATGAAAGACGCCCCCAGGGGCACAGAAGAGTTCTTCAAAATGTTCCTGAACAAACTCCCTCCTGGGAGATGTGGGGCCTCCAGGCAACCAACGGAAGTGGATTCTCCTCTCGATGGTGGCTGGGGGAGCTTAACATTATTTGCCAACGGTCCTGTCCCACCTCCTCGCTTCCCCTCTGAGGGCATCTCTCCAGACGGGAGTCCCTGTGCTCCAAGCCTGGCAGGCAGGATCAGAGATGGGTCTGGTGTCCTGGGGGCTATACCTCCGCCCAGTGTGGGAGGACAGCCAAGGTGCCTTCTCCAGGCCTCAGCCTCAGATCAGGCTGACAGTTCCCAGGTGACTCCAGGAGCACTGTGATCTGGGGGCCACCACGCAGGCCGAGGGAGAGGAAGGGAGTCAGGGGGAAGCAATGCCCCAGGAGCCACCGGTGCCCCCAGATGGGTGAGTATGGGGTGGGGGTGGGGCACAAGGAGGATCGGAGGTGGCAGGTGCCCATGGTGGGCAGGGCCAAGAGCCCAGGCAGCATGGAGCAAGGGGAGGGCAGAGAGTTAGGGGGGACCCCTTCTTAGGGGATGGAGGCCCAACTCCTCTGTTCCAAGTTTCCAAAAGATACTCTGAGGCTGAAACCCAGACATCCATCCTGTTAAGATCTGTCTTCTAAAAGGTATACTGCAAAGGCAAAGAAAGAACGTTCCTACAATGCCAGCTCTTTACCTTTGCTCAGAAAAAAAGACTCAAGCAAAAATTATCTTATTGCTCCAAACACTGGTTTTCTAGGAGACAGCTGATATGTCAAGGAGCAGAGAACCTTCGAGGGAGGGAATGGTAGAGGCGGGGAATGTCCAGGGGCAGGAAGGCTGAGAGGAAGGTGGTGGGGAGTGGTCTTAGCACCGCAGGGTCAGGGGGCAGAGGGGGTGCGGGGCAAGTGCCCCTGCAGGCTCCACCTTCATTCGCTCTGGGACCTCCACTGGCAGTGCCAGAGAGGAGGCCAGGCCCCATCAGGAGCCTGACCTCCGCCAGTGTTGGGCACATTTCTCCTCCAGCTGTAAACAGGGTATTTCTCAAGTAAACATTAAATACACGCCCTCAGAAAGGCAGCCATCGGGGGCAAAGGCCTGCGCCCTTTGTCCCTGGTGCCCAGAAAGGAGTCAGATGGAGCCAGTCTTGAATGGAAAAACGGCGGCATCCTCCTGGCTATAGAGGTAAGAGGCAGGGGGCCTGCTGGATAGTGAGAGGCAGAGGGCGGCCAGCTGGTGGAAACGCGGTTGTTCTGTCCTCTGCTAAAGCTGCTCTTAGTGTCTCCGTGGTGGCAGGAGCCCTGGGCCTGGCTGCAGCCCTCGGGGAAGGATGGGGCAGGGGGGACGATTCCCTCGAGGCTCTCTGTGGGTGGGAGTGAGAGGTTAAGTGACAGACAGACATAGTCAGGGAGGAGGATGCCATGGACTTCTAGCTGAGCTAGCAGGTCGGGTCAAAGGAGGGCAGTGGAATAAGGCACTAGGATCTGTCTTGCTGAGTCCTCTTGCTGGGGGGAGGCTGAGCTCCAGACCCACCAGTCTCCGGCCCAGAACCTCCCTGCTATGGGCTAGCCGTTTCACAGATCCAAGGAGAAGAGAATGACTGCTATTTCAAGGTGTGGAGACTCCTAGAACTTGCACAGGCCTTAACGAACGTGGTGGCACCGAGCTGAGGCAGTACAGAGCTGCCACTGTGCCCTGGGTGCAGAGGATGAAGAGGCAGGAGGCTGACCCACAGCAGGACAGGGGGAAGGTGGCTGAGAAGCACATGGGAGCTACCCAGGTCCAACCAAGACTAGTCCACTGGCCAGGGGCCGAGCCGGCGTTCACCTTGGGCTGACGTCCACCTGGCTGGCTGGGCACCCGAGATGGACAAAGTGGGGGGTGGCTGAGGGGGCAGGAGGGAGAGACAGGCACTTGGGGCTAATGAGCTGGCCATCGTGAGCCAGGGAAGGAGGCCCTGCCACCAAGCAAGGGTAGGCTGGGTCCTGCATGATACGGGCTAGCCTTCCCAGGCTGCCTGCCTTGCCTAAAAGGCAGAGACATCCTGTGACCCTCGGGGGCTACACTGACACCAAGAGAAAAACGAAGGGGGATGGTTGCAGCTCCAAAGCTCCAAGACCTGATCAGATGGAGGTTAGAGACCCAGGGAGGGCAGAGGCAAAGTTAAAGCCAAGGGAACACCTTGCGAGGCCCGAGCCTTCACAAGGAACTTGAGGACTGGGGCTGTAGCTAGGGAACACGGTGGGGGCGGTGGTGAGGGGACTGGGGGGCTGTTTTTCCCATCTGCTGACCCCAAGGGGAGGGGGGCAGCTCAGGGCTCACTCTAGTGGCCTGAGAAGCCGGAGAGACAAGGGACAAAGAGGCACGAAGGATTTCACAAGGAAGGGCATGCCTCCCACCTGCACCCCTGCTCCCCGCAGCCAATGGTCTGCCCAGGAGGAAGCAGCAGCCTCGGGATATGAGGGATCTAAGAGGCCAGAGAATGCCAGCAAACGTGTGGTGAGTTCGCAAGTTTAGGCGGGTGTCGCACTGGTCTTTCCCAAATGCCCAGGGCCAAAGGACTGCTGCTGGGGGCAGGGGTGGGGGGGGAGGCCCCCCCCCGCCCCCGATCACACACTAACCTGAATACCCTCTGACCACTTCCCCTATCGACCCTATGCTGGTTTAGAGAAAACGGAAAACAAACCTAACAGAATTTCCTTTCCCCTTCCCCAAGACCCTGTTCCGGTTGGTCGTCATGGGGGTAAAGCCTCTGGAGGAGCCCCAGGAGCTTTCGGGTGAGAGGGACGACACGGGGCCAGCCACCTGCCTCTGCGATGTTGGGGGTGGGGTGGAGTGGGGCAAACCCTCAGGTTCAGAAGCCTGCGATGAGGGAGCGGCATGTGCCTGCTGGAGAGCGTGGGATGACTGCACAGGCATTGGTGCTGAGGTCAACAGGGTCACACTGGGGAAGCTTGAGGGTGGCAGGCCACGCATGGGCACCTGACAGCTGCAGGGGTAGGGGGGTGGCGATGGCAGCAGTGGTAGTGGTGGTGTCCACCCCGTCCTCCCCTCCTTGCTCTTGGTGGGTCCAATCTTGTCCCACCAGACACGTGTGCACTGAGGGAGGGCACCTCACAGCGAGTCCCTGGGGGTGACGGAGGTGGCGCCTGACGTTGTTGCCGGCTGGGACACCACGGGCCCACATGCAGGGCACACGCTTCACTGCAGGGAGAGGACAGTGGCAGCCAGTTCAGCACACCCTGTTCTTATGGCCAGGTCACAATCGGATCTCAGGGACTTAGGCAGTCTCTGTGACAACTGGGACACGTGGCGGGCACACATGGGAAGGAGACGATCCAGGAGGCAGGAGGTGATGGATGCTGACCTCACAGGAGTGAGAGATGCCCTCCGAAGCCCCAGCCGTGTCCCAGGCAGAGGTTTGGCACAACAGTTTTTTTTTTTTTTTTTTCCTGGGGGTCTTCCCTTGGGAGGGGAACCACTAACAGAAAGGTAGGCTTGTAGAGCTGGGCTGGTCTGGAGCCCGGCTGCCGGGAAGTGGGGGGATAGTCACCTTTGTCCCCCCAGCACTCCCAGTTATAAAGGGCAGAAGAGGGAATGGACTCCCACCACTGGAGTCCTGGAGTGGTCCAGGGCTTCCAGCAGCTGAAAGAAGACAAACCCGCAGTTTAGAATTTCTTTCTTGAGTCCTCCTGGCCAAACCCTGTCTTCCTCTTCCAGGTGGTTCTTCGCCTTTGACCATTTCTAAGGCCCGAGGGTGGGCCAGGAGCAGCCCACCAGAGTCCGGCAGTGCCCGTGTCTGTGGTGGGGGGAGGTGGCCCACAGGCTGCCTTCTGTCTTTGTGTCCCTACCCTCCGGGGCCGGGACCCACCCCGGCTCTCCACGGAGAGGCAGGCCTTCTCTGGGGAAGTGAGGTGTTCTAAGCAGAACAGAAGGATGGGTAAAAACAAAGACGACAGGGGGAAAATAAAGGAACAAAACAAAATAGCTCCCTAACCCCTTACAAAAATTAAAAATGACATTTATACATATGCTTCTGTCCATGTTGTTTCTCCACAGCATAGTTTCCTGCTCTTCTGAAGTCTTAATCGTTTAAATTAAAAAAGGAAAAAAAAAAGACAAAAATAAAATAAGATTTTAAAAAATTAAGCAGAACTAAAAGGAGAGGGGAAAACCCAAATAAAAGCTTCACATTGCCGGAGATCCAGCTGTCGGGAGATCACCAACCGACCAAGCCACCATCTGCACCCTCGGCCGTCCTCTGTGGGAGACACGATGACACTGTCCCGAGGATCAACCTGGAAGACAGAAGACAGAAGGCCGGGGATGAGCAGACACTGGGCCGGCAGGCTCAGAGCACCTCCCGGCTCCGGACATACCCCTTTGGTGCCAGCACCCAACCCCGAGAGGTTTCTAAATATTACAGGGACTGGATCTAGCTTTGCTATAAGCACCCTGTTGTCGATACACATTATCCTCCTTTGTCACAAAGGGAAACTGAGGCACGGGTTAATAAGGCACGTGACTAATATTGCACTGACGGAGCAGAAGACCCTGGCTGGGAACCCAGGCTTGCTGGCTACAGCTGCAATCCCACCATGACTCCATCCCTGTGCTATCAGGACAAGAAGCCACAGGACCCTAGCCATCCCGTCCCTCCAGACCCTGGCCCAAGTCCCTCCTTGCCCTCTCTGACTAACTACGCTGTACCGAAGCTCGTGCGCATGCTCTTGGGTTTATCCTATTTCACAGACAACTAAGGCTCAGCCCCCCGAGAACCTGTCCCAGTTAGCCAAAGCTCTCAGGTCTTAAGAGGGGCCAGAATCCCACAGCTGGAACTGGGGTGACTCAGGGCTAGAGTTAAGAATGAGGTTCTGCCACTTGACCACAGGCAAATTTAAGCCCTCTTTAGTCTTGTCACCTGCACCAAATCACTTTATTACGAGGACATATGAACTAAGACATGTAACCTGAGACAGTGCCTGCCCCTATCACGATTAGCTATTGTTTGGGAACTGCCGTGGAACCAGGCCTCAGGAATAGGCCCTGCCACTAGCCTTTCAGGGACCTGTTTTAGTGGACGCCTAGAACACAAGAGCCTACAGCCAACAGCCTCGGCCCGGCACCTGCTGCCAGCCCGCTGTCTCAGTCAGAGTCGCCTGATCAGGGCTGAGCAGGGCCCCAGCCCAGGCAGCAGGGCTCCCTCTGCAAGGCACAGGGACTCACCCTGGGGTTCCGGAGTGCCTGCTCTCACCCTGACAGATGACAGCATCACTTAAGTCTTTCAAAGCGCACTTGAAATCCCTCCATACTGGCCCCCGCCCCCCACACTGGCTTCATTCCTGTATAAGCTCCATGCAGCATGAGGAGCCCGGCACTCCCCACCCCACTGTCACTTGTCCCCTGCGCAGTCTGACCACCCGGGCCCACCGTGCTCAGGTCCCCAGGAGATGCCCGTCTGGTCCTCACGGGAGGCAGTGGGGTCTAGCAACCGGAGATAGCCTGTCTCCTTCTGTGGGAAATGGTCAGCTCTCCTTCGAGGTCTGACCGGAGTAAAGACTGCGAAGTACCTGGCCCCCAGCAGGAACTGTATGACTCCATGAACCCACCCTGTCCTTGTCCCCAACCACGGGACCACCCAAATTGCTGCTAGCTGGGGAGGGGGCATGGAAGGGATGCACACCCTGCCAGGGACATGGACCAGTGCCTTCCAGAGAGCAATCAGAGTCTCAGGTGTATGCAGACCTCTAGACCCTAAACTTTCACTTCCAGAAACCTAGACTGACAAACAAAGAGGACTTTACAAAGAAAGATGCTCGCTGAAGCTATGATCTACATTATGAGGCAACAACCCACAAACCCAAAAGGAAAAGATTTAAGCAGATGATCCATCTACTCTGTGGAGTATTAAAGAGGCAATGAGACGGCAGGTTATAGCAGAAGCACTTCCTGGGATCAAAGAGAAATAAGCAGGCTACAATGTCCTGCGGCATACAGTAGAAGCAGAACCATGTAGCAAACAAAAACCTCCACATACAGGAAAATCTGTCAAGAAATACATCAAAATGTTGTACTTGTTGTGGGTGTATTTTCTCCTTCTCCTGCTTAATACTGAGAACACATCACGTTTTCATGCTTTATTTTATAGCGGGAAAATGGGCGTACTTGAAGGGACAAGAAAAGCTGTCAGCCCCAAAGAAAGGTCCCTGGAGAAGCAGTCCAAGAGACCAGACTCAGGCTCTTTTCTGGGCTCCTCCACACACAGTGGACAGCAGAGAATTTTCCACGGCTGTCAGGTGACATTAGACTGTGCAGTTCTCTCCTCCAGCGCAAGGTGAGGGAGGGGGCACCCAGTCTGCGTATGGGGAGTGGAGTGGGGGTGAATCATAAAGGTGCTGGAAAAGTATCTGATCTACAAGAAAATACTGGCTTTCTCAGCCTCAATTTTTCCCTCTGTTGCTTCTGTTTCCCTGCCTGTGAAGTCCCCTCCTTCAACAGCAAAAAAATCATTGGTGGTTCTTGTACCTTGGTTTCTGATTTGGTAAAATGAAGTCACCAGAAGCACATCCTGGGATGACCTAGAAGCCAACTGGCTTTGCTCCGCACGCCCATGACCTTCTCCCTGTACTGTCAAGACAAAGCAGAACACCCAGCAGCCAGGGGGAGGGAGGGCTTGGGGGGAACCTCACCATCCAAGATATTCCACGTCCTTGTGAAATAGGACAAGAAAAGCCCAGGAAACTGGAGGCTAATGTGTGATCTGCTAAGATTATCTCTGGGACGAGTTATGACCTTTCCAACACTGCTTTCCTCCCTCCCTTGGCAGGACCCAAGCTGAGGACACCCTGCTCAAAGGGACGCCCGTCAGCAGGAAGGTGACCCATGGTAGCAGAAAAGCAGCAGCCAAGGAGGCCGAGAGATGCAGAAGCTGGAAGTCCCTTTTCACATAATTAACTAGGAGAACAGAGTGTGCCCGCAGAAGGTCAAAGCAACAGCAAAGCTCCCCATGAGAGCTCCCGCGACACAAGTGTATAATGACCACTGTACTCACTGGGTCCCTTGCCAGGAAGCCAGGCTGACATTTCCCACAGGCTCCTCCACCCTCCCCCTGCTTGGGCACCGGGTCCCATCCCCCTGGGAGGATGCCTCAGGATGGCATACAGGTCTGGGTCTGCTTCCTTCTTGGGGGCAGGGACAAGGAACGTAAGAGTGCTCTCTTTCAGGGAGCAGACCCTGGCTTCGGGTTCCTCTCCTGTCTCCCATTACAGAAGGTCCACCTGGCCCAGGAAGCCAATGGCGGCAGGTGCACGGGGAGACAGCTTCGCAGCTATGAGCAGGAAGGGCTCAGAGCACCTGCTTCGGGGTTAGAGCAGCAGACCCTCCCAGGCCCGTGCTGGGGCAGTAAATGGAGTAAGGGCTCAGCCCAGGGGCAGGGGTGGGGGTGGGGGGAGGGGGAGGGGACCCCCCAGACTTCATCCTAGCAGATGTCACACCCCAACTCCCCGCCTGCCCAGTGACCAGAATGGACCAGGGCCTGACTCGTCCCTTCCAGTGGGACACGTACCTCTGACTGCAGAGCCCCGTGCAGAGGCTGAGCCACGCTGCTGGGCAGAAAGAAAAGTGGTGTGTGATTCACCTCCACACGATGTCATCAGCACGCCCCATCTTTCGCCTTCCTGATCATCTCATTTTGTTAGGTTGACTGCCCCATTTTAATAAGGGGACAGGCCCAGGGAGATGGAGCGGCTCAGCCCACACTACAACGCCACTAAGCCACTGGCCAGGGGTTCCCCCACTGCAGGCATTTGCCACGGTCCTGAGCGGAGAGGGGCCAGGGATACGGAAGTGTTGGCAAATCCTTCCCCTTCTTTCAACTCCCAGACAAAGCTCCCTCAGCACGCCCGACCTTAGTTCTCTGTAATTACTGTCCCGGCGATCGCTCACCCAGCATCGAACGTTCCAAGGGCTTTGTAGGGAACAATCCATTAAGGCAAACTTCAGCTCTTCCAAGCTGCTTCCCACTCACTATGTCCCTGCACGGAGCCCGCATGTTCCAGCTACAGCCTTGTCTCACCCCACAACCCGATGAGGTAGGCGCTGCCATCACCCAGTTCCAGAGCAGCTCAGAGAGAAGAGCTGCACGGCTAATGGGTGGGACAGAAAAGGGTCTGGGCCTGGGTCAGTCTCACCTCACACCTCCTGCTTTTAGCATCTAACTGTCCTGAGAAATCCCTTCCTGGAGAGACAAGAGCTTAAGTGGAGTTTAAAACCCATTTAATCCCTTCATTTATAAACACAGAAATGGGTTCATGGACGGCTTGGCTTAGGTACCTCCGCACAAGGCTGGTGGAGCCACCAGGCAGTGAGCAGCCTTCTACCAAGTTCCTCTGCCAGCTAAGCAGTTGTCTGGTCCTATCGAGGAGACGGGGGAACCAAAGTGCTCCCCTGAATGCCACCAGCAGTTTGCAGAAGGGAAGTGGGGGAGGGGGTGGGGAGTGAGGACAAAGGGGTGGGATGGATGGGCTCCCCCCGTCTACCTCCTCCCTGACCCCCCAGCCCACAGAGATGGAAACCTGTGGGGGGAGAAGACTATCCTTCTCTAGAAGCGCAGCCCTCCAACTTCACTGTTGCTAAAATGTCATTTTTAGATGAAACTAAATGGGAATGGTTTGGGGTCCCCCGTCTCCTACTTTCAAATGGTACCATCCTTCCAACTGTGCAGGACCGGCAGCCACAGGACGTGAGAATCTCTGGGAGCCACGACTGCATTTCCACTGAGCGTCTTCACCCATGTGCTCTAGTGGGGCAACAGCACAGGTTGTGGTGGACGGTTCTGGGCTCAAATCCTGCCTCTGCCACTTACTGGCTGCTTATACCTGAGCCTCCCTTTCCTTGCTAGCAAAGTGGGGATGCTGCCCTACCCTTTCAGGGGCTGTTATGAGGATTTAAGTAAGCTGCCTACCCCAGCACCTGGTACACAGCACTACGATCCGTACGGTCTACCATGTTGTTCACTGTGTTAATGGTCACTTCGGTTCTCAGACGGAACTGTACAACTTATCTAGAGATGAGGCTTAATTCAGGAACTTTCTGTCCTTTATCTGTAGTATGGACATGCAGGAGGAAGGCAGTGGAGGGGGTAGTGGGGGGGAGGGGAGCTCTCCCAATATGCCCTCTGGGGAGCATTCCTCACACCATTGCTGTAATGCCTCAAGGACAGCCAGCTGGTGGCATAGGTATCCTCAGCACCTTTCAACCTGCTCAGACCTAAGGAAGGATTTTTAAAGCCCATGAGTCT